CACCTGTGTTTCAAAACATGAATATAATATAGCGTATCGGTAATGAAACTAAGAAGTTGAAAGAAAAGAAAAAAAAATGAAAGAGAAGAAAGAGAGAAGGAGCGCGCAAGTTCCACTAGGCTCGTTCCCACAGTCGTTGATTTTTTCCACTTGACCCGAAGACAAAGGTCATGAAAGCACCGAATGATAAAAGAACCGTACGTAATGATGAAAGGGCCGAAAGGTAAAACTAAAAAGCACCAAATGATAAAAGATCCGTAAGTGTGGCAAACGCACCGAACGTAATGTTTCAAAGCACCGAATGTAATGTTAATAAAAGCACCGAACGTAATGTAAAAGCACCGAACGTAATGTAAAAAGCACCGAACGTAATGTAATAAGCACCGAACGTAATGTAAAAGCACCGAACGTACGGTAATGTTAAAAGGGCCGAATAGCAAATGCGCCGAACGGAAAAGAGCCACCAAAGGCAGTAACGGCGTTCCATAAATACGTACGTGGATTGATATGATGTGGTGATCTTGTGGATTCTCAATATTTTTACGAAGATGGATTCTTCTAGTTCTACGTGGAAGTTAAATTTGATTTTTCTAGCGATGTGCTTTTTCTGCAGATTGAAGTTTTCTCATGCTGCACTTGAACCAGGCATTTATGAATATAAATTAACCAGCAAAAGAGACGTAAGGCCCAATTCATTCTTGTCTTATAATTATATTATTGTTACAAAAACAGTGTAGGGCCTAGGACCTAAGCCTAGGCCTAGCCATAAACCAAGCCTAGGCTAGACCTACTAGACCTAGGGCCTAGGCCTAGGCCTAGATAGAGAGAGAGCAGTTTAGCTCAGACGGCTAATCTGGTGGTAGCCACTGTGAGATCTCTAGGCCTAGGTCCCTCTTCAATTCCATTCGCTGACTCTCCTTGAACCTTGTGTTTCAGCTAGAGGGCTGAAATACAAGTTACAATTGCGCACCATCTTTCGGATAAGACGTTTAAGCTGTTGGCCCCGTGTGCATTATGGCCCATGTGCATGTAAAGAACACAGTACACTCTTCGGAAAAGAGTACAGGATTGTCTCCGGTGTACTGCCCAATCAACACCAGAAGGACCCCACTGGAAATAAGTCTTCTGTTCTAGACTTTCGTGGGCTATCCTTCTTGGTGTTTACACCAAATAAATCCAATCCCAATCCAGCTATCTAGGCCTAGCTAGGGGCCTAGGACTAGTCCTACAGTACCGACTTAATCTAGAGTCTAGGCAGGCCTCTAGGCTATAGTAGGTATGAAAAAATTTCATCTTCTTTGGATCCAAGTGATAGTGATACAAGTTAATTCTCCAGCATTTAAATAATAAAATAAAGATTATTTGATAAAATTTTAGCTAGTGGTTGATTTTATATAATTTTGTAAAACATATTTTTTAGCAAAAATTTGGGATAGGGATTGTATGTTATAGTTATGACCTTTCAACACTATGACGAAACTCGAGCGATGTGACAACTGCATAACTATATAACATTATATTCCTGTCAACAACCCAAATTATCCAATCAAAACTGAAGCTACATATACAAACTACTGTATGTATAAATGATGCTTTATTTCAAAGGAAAACTTTAGTAAACTGTAACCTCGCGACTGATCAATGAAAAAAATATTTTTAAATGGCTCAAGTAAACTTTGACCTGTTTACTTTCTACAAAAGTTCAAATGTTAGTGATTGCAACCAATAAACGATTTAATCCGATTTTTCTAAATCTGGATGACAAGATACAAAACCAAAATAATCAGCATCAGAAACTGCGACAATGATAACAGTGTGTGATGTCACTCTTCTAACATACCTAGGCCTAGCTAGGAGAACATAAACAATTCAATTGGGTGTCTATAAAATGAAGACCGAAGACCCAAAAATGAAGACACCTATTTGTTCTTTTATTTTGATGATATTATGCCAGGCTGTCACAAAAAAAAATCAAAATTACGAAATTTTTTGGGCGTCTGTTTGTGAAATTTTATAGGGTCTTCGTTTTACAAAGCGAAGACCGAAGACCCGAAAAACAAAAACCAAAAAAAGATCTATAAAAAATAAAACCATGTTGGTAGGCCAGAAGTACTGGTAGGCAATATTCTAATTACCAAAACACAATAGTTGCTGACTGAATGCCTAGGCCTAGTGTAGACTACTGTAGGTAGGACCAGACCAAGTTTGACAGCACTACTAGCCTAGCCTAGGCTAATTCTAATCGCCTGAAACCGCGGCTACTACGTGTAAAATTCCCGGCCCTTCCGAGGTCTGTTACATCTACGGGTAAATTTTAGGTACGTCCCAGCACCACGGTGTTCGTTTTGTGGACACCCATATAAGGTGTATATAAAACGAAGACCCTTAATTATCTCATCCATCCTATGTTGGTGTCACTACCAAATGAATGATGCTGCACATATGCGTCACTATACAATAGTCTTACTGTTTATTTTAACATGGATTAAGTTTATGAATGAAATATTCAAGGCTTTTGTAGGCCCCAAAATACGTGTACCGCTAGGCCAAGCTTTATTAGAAGGTAGAACCGCCAAGACGCACTGTGCCACCAGCAGTGGACGTACAGCATTGGTTGACACTTTGGAACTGGAATAAACAGTAAATCATTAAATTGACTCGGATTCAGGCAATAATGTGTTAAAAAGACGAATTACATAGCATGAAGTGATTTAAAAACATTATTTTCATCACGATTGAGAGAAAAAAAATGTGGGTCTTCGTTTTTCTGGTCTTCGGTCTTTGTATATGTAGACACCCATATAGGGTGCTATAAAACGAAGACCCAAATATTGCTTGAAATTTCCTCATTTTATTCCGATGAAATAAGGAAGACGAAGACGAAGAAAATTATACAAACAGGCGCCCAAAAAATGTTGTAATTTTGATTTTGTGACAGCCTAGTGTATTATCAAAATTAAAGAGAAAAAATAGGGATCTTCCTAGACACCCCAATTTAATTGACAATAAATATAGTTTCACATTGATGTGAGTAATTTACAGTTTTAGATTACAAAATTGGTTGAATATTTAGAGAGTTAAGTCAGGGATGTCACCAGCTTTTTGGAGTGCCGGTCGGCGATCATCCCGCGTTTTTCTCTTAAAAACCAAAAGGCCTAAGTCGAGCAGGCCTAGGCCCAAGGCTAGCTGATGCGATTTTTTTACGCTAGGCCCAGGTAGGCCTAGGCCAGAATTTGAGGAATGCAACAAAACAGATGAAGATGAGACTTACTGTGGGGCTAATTAAATTCAATAGTTGACATGCTTTGTTTTAAATTTAAAAATAATAATGAACAAATCCCGGCGACAAAGCGTCGATCCGACTGTCAACTTCACATGCTTGAAGGTTACAGCTATTCATGTACCCAGCCGCATTGTTTGCCGTAATTTCACATGTTTGACGATTACCACGATGAATGTGTATGTCACTGATTCATGTGCACTCATTTATTTATTTGTCCATTACACACATTATATCAATTATAATTGAAAGTGAAAAATTTAAAATACTAAATTTAAAACAATTATGGACAATATAGAATAGGACAATTCCATGACTTTTTTCAGATTTAGCAAATTTTCAACTTTGAGGAATGTAAACAAGTTTTATATCAAACTAAAGCTTAAAAAATGAATTTTTAGGATTCATTGATGAAACTTTTCTTGTGTGGATGTATAAATATATATAGGAATTTGAATTACATAATTTTTAAAATATTAAAAAAATATGAAAATGTCATGTTTTTTCAAAGTCTCTAGAAACTAACAAACTGCCATTTATGCCAGTCATTTTTATTTTAAATTGGAGAACTTAACATATTTTATTAGTTTTTGTGACAAAAAGTAATATTCATTTACAACAAAATATTAAGGCGGGGCAAAAATATTTCTTAATATTTTTGTCGGTCTGTGACCCAAAAAAACAACATTTTTTAGGTTTATTAAGTCATGCAGCTTTCAACCATTGTGAAATTCATAAAACTATTGAAGCTATTAGGCTAACATTCACTGACAAGATTATTTTAATTTTTGGACTTATTTATTCATATTTTTATTACATTAATTTTAGTCGGTCTGTGACCAAATTAGTCACAGACCGACTTGTCGGTCTGTGACCAATGATATTATAATTTTTAAGCAAACTTTTTACTGTAAAGTTGGTTATATATTCAATAAACAAAATTAAAATGACAAAAGACATGGGCCTGCGAAAGGTTCTAAGGACATATAGTGGTTTATTTGAAAATAACAATAATTTGCTTCATAATCGAGTTCTCAACAACCACCAAATTGGGTATATTAAACCATGTGACTAAGTAGTTAGAAGCTGAGTGGGTAAAATCTTTCAAATACATAAAGCTGTAGTTTATCATTCAGTATAGATCTTGATTTCAACATTTAAATAATGTATAGAATACTATTCACTATGCCATTAACCAGCGGAGGCGTCAGCGGGGTGGGGGGAAGGGGCGGGGGAATTTTCTTTGTCGGAAGGCCGGGAATCCCTGTCTTTCGACGAACGAATAGGTCGTCGGACCAAAAATTTTTTTAAATAATAATTTTCCAATCCAAATTACGCTATCTTGATTGCCAATTCCTATTATTGTGGTCTAAAAACACATTTGTAAAGAAATAAAACATAAATCAGGTTTCGTAAATTTTTAATAATCTTCCTGCTTCGGACCATGCTCTCATAATAACACTTGAATGGTCATGATTTCAACTTTAACCGTTGAATGTGTACAGCATTCTAGCAACCGTGTCATGCCAGCCCACAACGTTAGCTATGACTCAACTGGGCCTAGGCTGTTAAGTTAGCGATAAATAGCAGGGCAGTGCAGTATTTTGTTACAATTAACGTAACCACGGAAACATTTATTGTATTCTTCTTGTCTTTATCTATCAGGTTAGCTTGCCTATTGTGTTTAGGTAAACTAATTATTTTGTTACAATTTGTAAACTTTTGAAATGATAGTGGTGGTCGGGAGCTTGTAAGTCCTGGTCGGAAATGTTGAGTGCTGGACGGGCCCGTCCACCGCTGACCAGCGTGGTGACATCCCTGTTAAGTTATGCTAAATTTTTTCCCAATTTACGCACGTTGGCCTATTCTATTTTGTATTTGTACAGCCTAGCTAAGCTCCTAGACGTGATCACTCTTCTATCAGCACGCGTTCTGGTTGGCTACACGGTGACGCATCACTCATAACACGGCCTAGAGTGGCTCAGACTCTACCTAGCTGGCCTTGGCGTAGGGCATTTAAACACTCGGGGCACAGAGTCTTGTTACATTACATCAAAATTACATAAAATTACTATATATTAATTTTTGATATTTTCATAATTTTTGTATGAGAATGAGTTATTTTATATATATTTTTTAAAATTAGAAACGTTCCAAACATATTACTGCAAAGTTTTTTGAAGGGAGGAAATTATCGGAGAAAATTGTCTGAGTGTTTGTTTTTTTGTAATTACCCAATCCAGGAGGAGTGGCCCTGTGATCCCAATTTTTTTTTTCCAATGGTCAAACTTTACTATTCGGGATTTTGACAAGTGCTCTCACACACTGTCCCAGATGTTCTAACCCCTAGACCTAAAAAATCGTTAAATGAGGTGGTTGTTGTTAGGTGTTTGTTAGGTTATACCTAATACATTTATTTTACTATAATACAATGTTAAATACTGTTATGTTATTTTTACTATACTATGTAATAGTTTAGACTGTATTAGCCATATTGTAGAGTGCATGTACAAAGTTTGTTCTAAAGTGCCCTCATAAATTTTGTTGTCCAAATCACCTGTTGGCTAATATTCCAAATAAGGTTAAGGGACTGTTGAATCTGAGTTGTGTGATAATGTCATCTACAACTTCATCCTTAAGGAGATGATGTCATTCCCAAATTCATCTTAAAGTTAGTAAATTCATCTTAAAGTTATGTGGTGATGTCATAATAATCTCCCCCACATATCCTGTTCATAAATGTATAAAATGGGGTACCATCCTATCATTTAGTCAGTCCAAAAGTTCTAAAGTTATCATTAACTTTATTACACGTCTGCTGTCTGCCGTAGTTCATTAAGTTTATCTATAGACCTTGCCGGTCTCGGACACCAGTCTTTGATCCAACTTACTTAGCCGTGGGCTCAGCTAATTCTGTAAGTTTTCGAGCATCTTAAAGTATTTAATTGTGTTTTACCACCATCATTTTTGTTCTCTTATAATAATGTATCTATGCTTTTATTAATAAATATACATATTGTATATAATACTAAGCTATTGTGTTTCCTATTCTCTGTTTGTGCTTTGCATGTAACAGTTGTACTGTACTGCAAGTACAACAAATCTAGGACTAGTTTGGTTCTTCATCCCGACGTACGTACACATGGAAGAGTCTTGGTGATCTGCATGGGTAACCAGATAGATTGTATCCTAGTATGACAAAGGTTTCCCAGTTATGTAAAAAATATAAAAACATACCCAGGAGCAGACATACATTCTGACCCATGTCCCAGTAGTAATGCGGATGAGGAATAAATTAAAAATTCCACGAAACTAGGAATAAGTTTGAAAAACTGGCTGTGGAATTGGGAGAAATGACCTGTGAGGAAAAAACCAACAAAAAGGTTAAAATAATGGCTCTCCTTCAAGAAATCTTCACAATCTGCATTGAAATGTATCATTAACAAACAAAAAAAAAGAAAAGAGAAATGCAGAGTAGATGACACAGCTCTTGGTGACTGTATCTGTAAAAGTAGTTTGTTATTGTTTTGAGTGCAGCGGTTTCGAACAGAAACAGCGTGTTTCAAAATTGTTTATGAGTAAATGTAATTATGAAAATAATTATTTAGACAACCCAAACCATTGCTTGAATGTCATAGAAAATGTAGTAGAAATCCTAGTACAGCACTGTAGTGAATATAACTACAAATACTAGGCCTATAAACCGGTCCTACCCTACAGTAGGCTAATTAATTGGGCTAGCATGGGCCTAACCTAGATAGACGGTGCCTGATTTTCGCCGCAGCTCGCGATCAGAACTCTTTGGGAGTAGGCAGCCCATGAAATTAGGAAAAAATTAGGTCGACCTTAAATTCTCCGAGGTCAGCAGCCTCGGCAATTTTTACTACCTAGGCCTACTGTGTATAGTATAAACTACGATTTTTCCGAATGCTCGACCTTACATCGTCATCTACAGATTCTGATTTTTTTAGTTTCTCTATTAAATCAATATATTGCTGGTGAAAGAATGGTCGTACTTGTATTAATTTAATAGTGTAGTATAATAAATGTTTTACATAAGAAAATCGCCGAATACAGTAAATTTCGTTTTAGCGTTTGTTTTATTGTTATCTTTGGCATGGGAAATATCCCTTTCGTAAAAGCTATGATCGTATCATCACAGGTGAGGTCAGCTGCTTCAAAACTACCAATGCATGTCCATGCGCATGCCCAGAATGATCTATCAGGGATTTTCCACACATGTACAGTACTTGTCAGTAGTGAAGTCACGATGCGATCGTGATTGCGTTTATACGGACGGTAGGATTAGGTCTATAATATGTTGAATTTTGTTGTTTTTAGATTATAAACAACAATTTATATATGATAATAATACTGTAAAATGAAGACAAATAATAGATTTAGATCATTACAATCTACGCGGCCCATGTGGCTTCAATTAGGCGATGTTGTAGGCCTTGGCTGGCTAGCGTCATTCCTACCTAGGCCTAGCCTACGAAACGACTAGGCGAGAAAGACAAGACAATGTACACAAATCGTACGTACTGCATGCCTATTAGAAATAGTTAATTGTACGAACAAATCTGTTTGATGAACCACCAATTTCCTTGGTTTGACGACGTACATGAAATTTAGTGTCTGCTATACCCTGTTTCAGTAAAAGTTTCTGACTTTCCAAGCAGTTTTTGAAGCAAAGAAATCTAGGCCTAGGTGGGCAAAAAATTGCAATTCTGGCTCGGCAATATGGTCGGCAATTGCCGATTGCCAACGTGAAATTCGTGGGCTGAGTAGGTTAATAACCGGTGTATAGGCCGCACCCCAAACTTCGGGGGGGGGGGGGAAATCGCATAAAATTTGCGGCTTATACATCAGGATAAACGATATATAAATTTTAACTTGCGCGTAAGCGCACGTTAAGACACGCAAAAGGAAAATTAATTTGCATGACATTAAACCTTGACCTGAAGTTTACAGTATGCCCAATGAATATGATTCAGAAATGACGAATGGTTAAGATGATATGGGGTCATCAAAGTTTTGAGAAAAGAAAAATGAGTGGGGTCAGAAAAAACATTTTGTGCATGATGACATACTCAAAGTTGGGAGAAAATTGATTTAAGGATGCGAGATACGCTCAAATGAGTATTTTAACAAATGACTTCATTGATAAAAATTCAGTTTCTTGATTTCAGATGGCAATATGATGAAGTCACAGTGTCCGATCAGCCATTATGATCTATAAAATCATCTGCAACTCATGTGCTTTAAGAATAAGTAATAAAAATTGGGGGTCACCTTTTATCCTAAATAGCTATAACTGATTGAAAATAGGTATGATTTTGGCAAATTTTTCAGTGTTTGTTAACAAAAATGCGCAAAAGGATTCATATATTTGATGCACGTGTACGGCGTTGCTATTGGCCCTAGATAACTGAAAAAGAATGGAAATTTGTGAATACAGTGTCAGAATCCCAAAACATGTAAGAAAACAAAATTTCTAGCGTCTGTACGTGGTCAGTGTGGTGTAAAAATGTGCTCACGGTGCAGAAAATTTGAAAAATGTTGTAATGCTCAAAATCGCCTGAAACGTGCAAAAAGTGATTTTGAGCATTTTAAAATTTTGATGTTACGTTATGACACATGCACGTATAATTCAGGATATGATGTTTATGCTCACTAAATATGATTTCGAAATGGCAATTGCTTAGGATGATATGATCGATAATGTAAAAACGTAAAATTGCATGTAGATGACATCACGCATGACTGGTCACATTGAAAAGCTTATATTTTGACTATTCCAGGCCAAGCCAAATGTTCCTTGAAGCTGCCATGTGTGTAGCTCGCGGCAATTTTGAGATATCGTGTAAACAAGAAATGGGGGAGAAATTTATAGAATAAAAAAAATAACAAGAGGTGATCTATTCTGCAGATCACCCAAAAGCAGAGAGATGTATGAAGTACAGAATTATAAGTCTCATGAGTCACATAAACCAAACTATTGTTCAAAATAATAGTACAAGCAGAATAGAAGAAATAATCATCCACATCCAAAAGTGGGTTTAGAATGGGAACAGGAACGAAAGAAGTTCTTTAACTTGAAAACGATTTGTGAAAGAGCCCTTGATGTGCATAAAGAAGTATACAGGGGCAGATCTGGATTGTAAGTTACGGTGGAGTCAAACTGTTTCCAAAAACCACCTAAAAAAGGGGTGTTTGGCCCAGAAAAAATTTAATTCCTAGATGGCGGGAAGTGTCTTTTAATGACTTTTTTCAAATTTTACCCCTCTTGAAAACGATCAGGTATTTTTTTTCTCATTTTTATTACAGTACAGTAAGTAGGCCTATTATGTGTGTACTGGTATGTACAAAGAAACAAAATTGAGTAGTTGCATACGTATTCTTTTTTTCCATGAATTGATGAACCCCAAAAAGAAAGGGGTTGGGGTCCACCCCTGGAAAAATATTGATTCTTAGATGGCAAAAAATGAGCTTTCTAGTCTCGAAAAGAAGCCCATTCAAAGTTCGCAAAAAAAAAAAAAAAAAGCCCAGGGCTTCAATTCGAGGTTTTAGGTATGTGAACTGCTCCTGTTTGTATACAATTTAAATTAATTTCATTTGTGGCAAAATGTAATATATTATTAAAATTGTTTTTCTTTCAGAATAATTATACAATTATTACTAAGAGTTTATTCAACAATACTGATGTAATACTTAAAGGTAAGAGAATTTAATAATAGTTTTTCATTAATTATCAATAATAATGATTTTAAACAATGGATTTAGAGAGAGAAAATGTACTTGATTTCAAGACTAAATTCTTTTGCAATTTAGCTAAAATGAAAACACCATAGATGAAAGGACCTGTCGCGTCAAAATTTGTCCGGGCCGAAAAAGATCAGGTGGACAGATTTTGGTCTCCAAAATTGGTCCGCCGTACTACATTTGACCGCTAAAATTTGGGCATAGAATTTGGGCCTAAAATGAAACACAATTTTAAATATTCCAGATTATTGTATGAGTATATTTGTTCAAATTATATGTCATAGATGTTCAATTAAATGAAAATTAAAGAGGTTAGTAATTTGTTGGAAATGAATGCTTTTATTTCGTCAGGTTAAGCACACAACCAAAACAAAACAAAACAAGGTATAAGAATAATAGTGGACCAACATATCGTTAACTTCTTCTTTCACAATTTTATATTAAGACAATCATTATTGTGGAATATACCAACGAGTATAGGATTACACTGGCTGTGAAGCCAAACTAACAAATTTTGGTGCCTGTATATACCGTACTGATGCGGGTACAGGCCCGCCCTTGGGTATAAGCCCGCCCTCAGCTATAAGCGTACCCCTGCCTTTTGCGTCATTTTCATCAAAATCAGGCACTCAGGTACAATCCCACCCAATAATTTGAAGATTTCAGTGTAGTTAACAAATTATTTTGTAATGAAATGCATCGTCTTCCAAGGCCTAAAAATCCTTTGAAGTTCGAGTCAGAGCTTGAAATACATCGTAAATCAGACGGCATACAGCTGAACATGTAACAGCTTTTTGTCAGATATTTGCCATGCGTGACCACAGCGTATGTCTGGTCTTTGCCGGCCACATCGTACGCCCAGTGTTTATGTCTTATTTGCTCTTATTTTTGCCCTTGGCAGCGAATTGATGAGTGTCTACTAATGCAACACGTGATTGCAACATGCATTGCAATGTGATAGTGTAGGAGTTGTGTGTAGGAAGTCGGTCAATGAAAAAATTTGGTGCTTGCGATTATTATTTATATATGAAAATGATAATATTTTATTTTATTCATAGAAAAATGTTTTTATTTTTTAAAGTTTGAAACTGTCTTTATCTTTTAACAATAAGAAAATTGAAGTTCAAGAATAATTTGATACCGTATTGGAGCATGTTATTCCATGTTGATTCCCAATTAAAATCATTAAACCGTACACTTAAAATTCAGCAGTCTTGATAAAACCATGCCTCCATGATAAAACAGTGGCTCCATGTCTACTGTACAGTACCACAGTGCGCGAACACCAGGTCAGTCAACACAACTGTATACTGCACCTGCGTGTATGCTTTATTTTTAGAAATTGAAACATAAAATTGTCCCCTAAATAAGGGTTTTGGCATATTTTCGATGACATACAGTACATTCTTTAGAAGTTTATTTTTATTGACATAGAATCAGTTAAGAACTAATTTATAGCAGTAATTTGCAATGAAAATACAATTGATTTATAATATGAAATCAGCAGAAATGTATTAAAACAACAATAGTTTATAAGATAGTATAATACATAATTCCAACTATCGAAATGCATGCCATCGTGTCAGGATTCAATTTTTGGACATTAATTATGTCATCATAACTAGTTCTAGCTATAGCCTATGATTTTTATCACATCCTACGTCACTTTAACGCTTTTCAATTCATAAACATATTAATTTTACCTTTGAATCATTTGAAAACAGTGATTTAGTACATTTTCTGGATTTACAATAAATTTGACAACAGCGTAGGAAGCATTAGTATATCGTAAAAATACACATACAGGTCAATATATCCATTATGATAGCTTTGCACTGTGGGACCATATAAGATTTCTTGGATTTGTAGTTTAGTTTCAAGAGCCCACAAACTGTGTACGCCGGTACTCTCGATAAACTTCAAGCAGAACTTTGTAACATTAGAAAATTTATGTCATGGAATGGGTAACCTTTAGAAGTTGTTAACCATGTACTCAATAAATTAAGTGAACTTAAATGTATACATAGGCCTTCTGATGATAGCTTGATTAAGATCTGGGTTAGAATGCCTTATCTAGGAAAGGCAGGTGAATCCATTTTAAGTAGATGCTTAAACAAAGTAAAGAAACTCTTAGTTAAAGAGGTAAAATTCATAAATTTATGGCAGTAAAAAAATGTCTCTCACCCATTTTATCCACTAAATATCAAACCCCTATTTGGAATAGGAGCTCTGTTGTTTATCATTTAGAATGTCCAGGTGGTAATAGTGATTATATTGGTAAGACAGATACAGTAGATGCTTAATAACTAGACTCTGATAGATATTCTTATAAATGATCATATACAAAATTGTGAGGCAGTCCAATATGTTTTCAAGGTTTACAAGGTATACTTGAAAATGATAATGTAGCCTGTAATGTAAGTAATAAACTAGGTTTAATATTTTCTAATACTAACATTATTGACAGGTTTCACAAAATTGGTCTATAGTAAATGTTTAAAGAAGCGTTTGCTATACGTAGGCTACACCCATTGCTTAACGATGGAATGAAAGCTTCAAAGGAGCTTTCTTTGTTTTTGTAGGTAGCTTTGATCAGTAGGGTAAGAATGCTTTGATCTTTAGTTTATTCATAGCTATGTCACCTACTAGGGGTAATGTTTTGATAGGTCAAACACTTTTGGTACTTGTGCATATAAGCTAGCAAATACGGATAATTTTTCGTTCCTGATGATGACATAATTAATGTCAAAATATTGAATCCTGACACGATGGCGTGCATTTGGATATTTGGAGTATGTAAATTACACTATCTTATCTGAGATTAATCAGTGGACCTTTCGGTTTTATAGTTAAATATATTCCCAATATTGTTTCATTATGCAATGTTAATGACCAAATATTCTTTTTTTTTTTTAAATATTGAACTTTCTATTAAATGATCAAATAATTTCATATGGTTTGAAATAGTATAATGTGAAATACAGTATGTGTGTAATGTGTCCGAAAGGGTATACAAATATTGGTTTATCGAAACAACAACAATCACATAGCTTTGTATTAGATGGATGTATCATGAATAGAGTATGTAAATAAACTAGATATTTTTAAACCATTGGCAGTTTCATGGGAAAGATTGCAAGAAAGTCTCACAGGGGGTCAAAAATGAAACTTGTTGTATCAACAAAACATGTTTATTTATTGAAAATACATACATAAAGGTACTACAGTAGAAACTGTTAATGTCAAGGCTTAAACATGTTTTCATATTAATTGAGGACACTTGACACTTTGCAGATCATAAAATTGGTAAAAAGAAAGGACGCGTTAAAAATGACAAAATATTCTCTGTATCTACTGGAACCGAGCCACATAGCTTGTATTCCACTATTTGCATTCACACCTGGGCTGTGTATATATATTGCCTTGGTTTGGCTCTGTAATCATTAGTGGTCGTGGGACTAGTTTGGGCCCTACCTATTGTTACTATTAATTATTATGTTTATAATTATTTTAAATTATTAACTCTGAGTTTATTTTTCTTATGAGAAATAGCATTGCACTATTTTTTATATTTATCCATCCTTATGACACTTTCTTCATATTTCAGACTACGACAAAGTTTCATACAGTGTGTATCATTTTTTGAAGCTCAAAATAATATTGTACTTGCTCCCTTTTTGAATTGATTTGATTCTACTCCTCTGAATACCTGTGATTCGAGTTTGCCAGGCAACAGCAGCATATTCTGTGCATGATCTAACACAACTTTTGGTGAATATCTCCTTGGGGATACCAGCTATTTTAGTCTATACCCAACATAAATAATTGTCTTCTAGCTTACTTTCGGAGACTGATTTAAGTCCTATCTCATATATCAATATTGGAGAGATATCAGGAGTAGGTTTTTGAAATGTTATTGTGATTTACATTTCTCAGAGTAGAGTTTTAAGTTTATTGAGTTCAGACCAGTCAATCAACATACTGTATTCTTCCATGTAGGATTGTGAAATTTTTTTTTATCAGCTTTCTCAATACTGAGGTCATCAACATTATTTCCAAGTTATCATCATCTTGGTGATAAAATCTTGCTACCTTAGTGAGAACAAGGATTAGGGAGATTGCTCTCAGTTTTATCAATAGTTGCATTACCATTCTTTTGGGATTGTGGCAACAATTTCCATTCCATAGGTGCAGTATAAGCGAACTATTAAAAATGTCAGTCATTTGGATGCTCAAAGGTTTATAATAACTGCTGCACAGCTCTTGTGTACAGTGTATATGAAATTTGTTATGCTCAGGTTATTTACAAACTAGAAATTGTAATGGAAAAGATGATCCCTTTGAAAGCAAGTCGTGATATGGGATGTTCTACATTTGTTTATATTTGTGTTATCCAACAGCATGTAACTTGCCAATCACAGGATAAATGATGCTTTTTAAAGTCTCTTTTTGAGGCTTTTGCTTTTAAAAATAGTAAAGAAAAAGTCTGTTGCATTAAGCAACACACAATTCTGTACAAATTTAATAGTTGATATTTCTTTCTTTTTTTCAGCCGGCTGCTCGGAATCTAAATCTACATGTAACATATACTTGGAATGGATACTCGGATACTCTGAATGTGACAACGCATTTGAGGAAAATGTATGTTTATGAACTGCTACTAAAATTGTGAGAGATTGTCATCTGGTGTACTGCCCAATTTATTAGTAAAGAGTCAAATACCTTCCCCTGTGATTAATGTAATTTTGAATGTCTTATATCCCATTCAGAATAGCATCGCATGGCGATCGGTTGTAGCAATTGCGACACCCAAAGTAAAATCGTGTGTGAAAGCTCACCAATAGTAGTCGATATGTAATCAATGTCGCAATTGTTACCTGTTGCGATTAGGTGCTACAATCTTTATTACTCCTGATTACCACGGAATTTGCATGACAAATCTCGTAAGGAGAAGGGTGTCTTTATTATACATATGGGAGAAATAACAATCCAGGTTTCCATAATTATTAACTCATAATGGTTTTCTGTTTTTTTCTTTTTTTTTTTATTACAGAATACTGTCACTAACTTGATCAGCCCAGAGAAGTCGTTATCAAATATGGGGAACAAATTTAGTTTTCAGAAATCGACAAAGAAACTGAACGAAACGTGTGATAATAAAGCATTTTTTAAAGTAAGTTTAATCAAAGGATATATAGAGGAAGAACGAGGAGCAAGCCCAAAATTGTGTAATCAACCGAATTGCATGATGGGAGGCCAGTGAAATAGGGCTCTGCATATCGGTGATGTTTATAAAAACGTGTCTAGTGTAGGTTAGGCATAGGCTAACTATAGAGAATTAGACCTTATTAGGTATTTATTAATTATTTTCGGTCTATTTCTTCTTGTACGTATAACTTAGACCTATAGAATAATTGGATATGCTAGGCTAGGCCCCTAGCTTTCAAATATAAAAGAAACATTACAGTGTACACTACAATTGTTAGGTGTAAACTAGATCTAAAGTACAGGATAGAGGTTCACTTCTACAAGGCCTAGACATGTCTAGTCAAGCTACTTTTGTTAGTTAAACTAGACATATTGATTAATTATTGTTTATTATATTTTAACAATTATTATTATTGTCTGATTATGTTATGTAAAATAATAAAAAGGGAAAAAAAATATTTTTGAATTTGAAATTTGAATTTCATTATTAATATTATTATTGGAAAGAAAGAAATACATTGTTTTTGTTCTGATTTTTTTTTTCTTTTTTCTTGCATATATTTTTCCTATCTGTTTGCACTGTTTATTCTGGCCGTCACTTTGGTCACTTCCCATGCTTAGAATTGTTCTGTGCTTTGCCAAAGCATAGGCCGTATATCAAGGATGTGCCTCCTAATATTTAGTGTCAATCTATGGTGGGGTGTGCGTGTGAGGACCAATTAAATTGATTTACGGTCAAACAGTCTACGGTCCATGATATACAGTAACAATTTTTGCTTTCAAGCCTGGTTTGCGTCGAACTTTTATCTAGATATAGATCCACTTAACAGTTTGACGTGAACCACTCAATTATAGCTAGATAAAGACTTAAGTCACTTAAAGTTAAGTGACTTAACTTCACTAGAATAACGGTAAATTAACTTGCTTAACGGTAAAGTCGGCTCAGATTACACGGACACGATTACGTAACGTAGGCATCAGCCAGCGTTGTTGTGCTGTACAACCATTATCATCTTCTGGCTGGCAACAACCTACTCCAACAATGCTAACAACAGCAGCATAGTAGTCTCATTAGTCTGGTTTTCAGAAATTATTTGTAATATTATGGGTAAAAACCCAGCAAACATCCTTTTTACGAATAGTCGTATTACAAATGACCTTTGCCCTTTGCATCATCGACCAAGTAGCAACGTCAAAAAGTATGATTGCGTATATTTTCCAAAGTGTTAATGTATATTATTCTTAATAAAATCAGATTTGTTGTATTTATTTATTTATTGACAATTCAATCTTTTCCATTTCCACTATAATAGTCACTATTAATTCAGTTTCAACAAACTACCACCACCACCACCAGTCGTTAAAATGAGCGCACATGTTTACGATGACGAAATAAAAAAGTGTGTTGAAGTCAGCAACTTATTTGACGCCGCGAAGCTAGATTTTCGCGAAGTGCATGTAAACAACACAACTGAGCGATCGAAAAACTACAAAACAGGACAGAAAGGTCCATAAAGTATACAGACGTTTTAACGAGAATTAAAACAATATTTTGTTAAATGGAAGAATGCTAGCGAATTAAATAGTTTGTTTTTTATCGAAGGTAAATTTATCAAGGGCCTAGAGAGTCTACTACTACTTAGATTGCGATAGAACATGCTGCTGCACTGTCGGTTGGTTCGTCCTGGTCGGCTAGGCTAGGTAGTGGAAACTGATACCTGATCTACATACAGTAGTTTACGAATTTGGCAGTTTTTTTAACGAATACCCCTTGTTACTAGAGGTTCGTAAAATACAGTAGACGTTTTATTAAACAAGCCTTTCCACCGTGTGACATCGACAGCCTGAAACTGGCTGGCTGTTTATCTGGCTCTAACTTGGCATCGAATGCAATTAGGGGATTATCGTATCATGTTTCAAGACAGGTATATCTCGATAAAGTTTAACGTGAACCAGGATTCAGTCACTTATTGTTTTGTTTGTTTTTATTGTTATAGCGCAATGGGTCACGATGTACCTTGCTATTGCCATTACAGCCATAGTTCAAGTCTCACTAATACTGTTGCAGTGAACTTCATTTTTTTCCACTTTGTTAAAATTATAATGGTTTTCCATGTTTTTTTAAATTTTATACCTTTTAACGACTTTTCTTTTTGTTGCAATTTCAACTTCACTTCTCATTAAAGCAATGGGGAAAAGCCCTATGTTCTGTTGTTCAAATAGACATAGTAAGTCTAGTTATTATTATTATTATTATTGATCATCATCATCATCAATATAATATTATTAATTGTCATTGTTACAACAACTAGGCCCATTAATAATTGTAATTTTATTAATATTATTATTAATATTATTAATAACATTTAGCATTGTTTTGGTTAGGATCAAACTTTATGACATGTATTATTACAACAATTTGTAATTTTTATTGTAGAATTCTTATTTAAAACCAAGTAAAAATATATAGGTACTGCTACGTTTCAATCCTAATGAAATTATTCAAATTGTGATTTTTAAAAATTATTATTATTATTATTATTGTTATTAATAACCATTAACATTTTTTCCTACCTGGCTAGGATCAATAAGTATTTATGGTCTACGCTACCACATTTACACTGTTTACAGAAAAATTAAAGGCCATTTATTATACGACGTATCCATATACGCTAAAAAATAAATGGCTAATGCAGCTGGGGTGGATGTGCAAAAATTGTGATAATATAGACCTTTAGGTGCCTGGAAATTTCACTCATGTACCTAAAAAATCTTGCTGATAAATGTATAGGCCTACATTAACAAGCCATTATGAAATATATTTCAATCAACAGCAGATCATGTAATGTTATGTTATTAGATAATAGGACATAAAAGGGAATCGATGCAAACATAGGCTTATATAAGAATACTGTATATTTTACCTAAATTCATCTTCATATAACACTACAAAATGAAGTGTGCTAAAAAAAATAATAAAAAAAAAAATAATAGTATATACTGTAGGGAACATATTCCCCTGGGAATTCCTGTGTGCATGAACACATGACACATGACATCGTTTTTCGAAGTGGCAGATGTATTTAAACAACTGCCTGTCAACCAATGGCCAATCAAAAACTAGGCCTATATTCCATGAAAAATCAGACATTACTCGAGCATCAAAGGGAGGGGAACCCCTAATCATAGTTACAGTAGGCCTTATAGGCACCTAGGCTTTGGTCTTTACCTCAAACTAGGCCAGCCTTTGCCTAAACTTTCTTTTTGATGTCGTAGGTTAATTTTTGCCCAACAACAACCAATCCAACCAAACATACCCATCACAAGGAAGACTGCTGACTTGTAATGCATTATGTAACGAGTTATTTTTAGCAGCGAGAGTCTGCATCAAAGTTTGATGTGAAGTTTCTGCAGAGTTCATTCAGAGCTCACGCTAACCAAGTCGGCGTGGATGGAACTATTTTGGTTTTGCGGCAAAAAAAATCAACTGCTGTAGGCATAGGCATTTTGAAGAAGGCCTAAAATAAAAAAAGGTTTTAATACTTGCTGAAATACATAGTTTTTTTCATTTAGATCTCCATTTTTCGCTACCTCCATGCGACGTTTTTTTCTGTTGTATGATTTAGTCATATGAAGGTATTGTATCCCCGACAGTTGGCTATGCATCAGTGTACCCTTTGAATGCAAACTGAAGACAAGTGAAGATATAAAGGCAGGCAATTGTCGGGTACATAACGACTATCTAGTATAGGCTTTCCACAAAAACATGAGGCCTAGGCCTAGTTTAGTTGTTTAGTACAGTAGTTAATGCGATGCGGGGGTGGTAGATCGTTTAATCAATGATATCGTGTTATCGCCTAATATGTAAAATACATTTATATAATGTGTGTAAAATTTAAGAATGCACCGCTTTCTTTGTTATGCGGTAGTATACGTAGCAGAGTGATGGCAGCAAGGCTAGGCCTAGCCTAGGGCTTAGATTATGTACATGACAGACGATTGGGCTCAACTGGTGTGGACTATCGTGCCCAAGCTATTTTCAAATAAATTTAGTCTAGTAGGCCACTGCCAGCTCCCCCACTCCCGATATCATTCCAAACTACTGTAAAATGAAAATACTGTATACCTAGCTAGGCCTAAGCACTAGGCCTACAAAAATTTTTCAAAGAAATTTGCTAAAAATATTACTGTAATTTGCCTATCAAATTACATTACCAATGTAGTCTAAAATCACTATTTTGGGCCATAAAGACTCCCCTGAATTTTTTAACCACCACACAAATTTGACCCAACCATATTTTCTGAGTATGTCATTTATGATGACTTTATCAGAAAATATGGTTGGTTAAGTATGTATCATGCATGAGGATTGTTCGTTATTGTTATTATTATTATTATCATTATTATTATTATTATTATGTTGTAATGATGTTGTTTGTACTGTTTTTTAATTTTATTAAAGAGGGCCCCTGAATATAAGTTAACCTATTGGGCTAAACTAGAAGGGTTACCGTTTTTAAAGATGGTTGAAGTAAAAATTTTTAAAAAGAATGTTGACGCCTGCAAGGTTCTGGTTATACATTTTAAATGTTGTACATCACTAGCAATTCAGACTTGTCATTGCTATTTTTGATTTGAACAAATTGAAATTGAACTGAAAATGAGTTGTCTGAATGGAAGGAAGCCAGTGGAGGTCTTGTGCAGATGACACGGCCATTTACTATGCATCTCATGATGATCTAGGAAACAAAAATAATTCATTAGCAAGTAACAAACTTATTTTAAATGTAAAAAAACAGAATGTATGTTTATTGGAAGATTCCAAAATTGGCCAAATTTATAAATACTTGTAAGGATCCAGGGATGTAGTTATACTACCCACCCACAATATCTATCCCCACCCTTAGTTTTTATTATCTACAACCCTGGGGATCCTAACATATCAATGGTGTTGAATAGCTTGGTGGTTTTAACCCAATTCATCTTAAAAGATGCTTGCCTTCCAATCCCATGGTCCTGGGTTGAATTCCTGTCAGTGACCAAAACAACTTCACTCCAAAAGCTCATATTGAGATTTAGTTTGTGTAAAGCATTGTGTGTGTATGTTGGTCTTGTGAGAGATTGACAGTGATATATTCGCTATTGACAATCCTTGGTGCATGTGTTGTGTGCTTAAATAAATAAAAAAAATTAATTTAAAAAAATGTTTGAATAAGTACAAAACTTTTTTAGGTAATTGATGAAACTTGGTCATGGGATAAGTAAACTGATCATGTCAAAAGTAGTTCTTGCCAGGCTTTAATATTACTTGAAGAGATCATATAATTTACTACCTCAAACTCTCTAAACAATGTTGATGTAAATGATGTAAATCTATAATAGCGCTACATTTTGACTACTGTAATGTTATATTTGGGGGGGGGGGTGGTGGGGAGCAAATGTAGTATTCGGAAATGAGCAAAGATGATCTTGAAAATGTGTCAAGCTATGACTCATTTTTCATAATCATGCTGCTTGCTTCTATGTACAAGATTGTACAAGGCAAGGAAAAGGGCGCAAATCTGTTTTGGAAGACGTGGGAATAGGGAAAATGGTTATTGAGTCTGCACCCACCTCAACCCCACCACGAAAATTTGAGGAAATGGTATATCTAGACGGCTGGAAAGGACACTAATGAAATTCATAATCATCACATCATTTTAGTCAAAATGAAGCACCAACAAATTTCCTCATGTTTTTTTACAGCATCAGCAACTTTATCCTTGTTTCATGGCATTATAACATATTTATAAAATTGTACAAAGTATTTTAATATAACGGCATAGAATGTTCTTTCCTTAAAATCTTGGTCATTTTACAGTTTATTTCATAATTAATAATAATTTATTCACTTATTGTGCAAATTCCATTTAAAATAAATTCAAGTTAGCATCCAAGATGGCTTTGGTAGAGTTTTCTGGTCATAAAAAAATTCTGATATCTAGTAATTTTGTTTTACCTTATCGATTGCAAGGATCAAGCAGAAATTGCTCCGATAACATTTTGCTCAATTGTGAACACCACTACTGAACCTAATTGTAGAGAATTAGATCGACAACCAGATTCTGACACAGGTGAAACTTTGAATGAAGGGAAACCAGGCAAACCATCAAAGGAGACACGACATAGAAGAGTAAGTATGAAGACAGTTTGGTTCTTAATGCATAGGAGCATAGCTTGAACAAATGGACCAGATTTATGTATTATGCATGTTTGTGTGTTTACACTAAAATTTTGGTAAATAAGCAAGCATAAACGTTTTCCATTTTGATCTGAATGTTGGTGCTTGGTTAGTTTTGAGCATTTTCTTGATCAATATTTTTGGCGATTTTGTTTTATGTATGTATGTACTGTAGCACACTTTATTCAAAAAATTGAATACAAGGCCCAAGGCCCAACAAGTAACACATGAAAAGGAACATTGTGATTGATCTGCCCAAATTGAGCACAGCCAACTTGAATGTAATTGATTATCATGGTACAAAAACATCCTAGTTTCTGAATAATATAGAAACAAACAATTAGTAAGAAGCTGCATTCACTGAGCTATGGCTTTGTGGAATTCACTACCTAGACTGTCTTTTTAAGTACATAACCTCTGTTGTTTCATGCAGATAAACATCATCACATACAGTACACCCCTTAAAGGCACAATTACTAGATGTTGGTAAGGATGTGGTGTACTACATTAATGTTATTCATTCATTCATTCATTCTTTATTTAGCCTTATAAAAATCACAATACAATTTGTACATACAGTCAGATAAAACTGAAAAAAAAAAACATAAAAAAAAAGGATTAACAAAATCAATTAAAATCAATTCTGTTATAGTGAACATAATATGTGGCAAAGACGAGCCAAACCAGTCACTCGTCGCAAAAATCGATTTTGAGTTATTAATACAGGGTTAAAGAGTAAAATAAGAGCTATAAAATGGTAAAAATCATTAAAATCCGACATTTGCTTATGAAGTTACAAGCATTTATGCATACAGCTGTTTAAAGAACAATATATGAGAAATCAGCATTCAAAGTTTATGATTTCAGGCATTTCTCATGCAGAAACTATCATAAAATCTTTAAAAAGTGTTGTTTTAACATTGAAATTGGGAAAAATAACAGCACAGCATGATGTATAGATACATAAACCTCAGTTTAGTGAAATAAAATAGATTTAGTGAAATAAAATGTCGATGCCAGAGTTATAATCTTTGATGTCCCGAGATGTGCGTCCTTCTGTTGAATTGCTTTGATTATACTCAATATTACTATAAAATCTTTCCACATAATTTGAATTTAATGAATTGTAACATGTGTTGCCAATAGTAGTACTGTACAAGTCCTCATCAAATGTTTTGTAGATTTGTGTTATTGTAAAATATTTTTTTAAAGATATTTTAATGGACATAAATAATAATAATAATTGTCTATATAGCACATAATGTAAAATACCTCTATGCGCTTTATTACATGGAGTATGAAAATTATTAAAAGCGTCACCTAAAAAAATAACGAATAACAATAATGAATAACAATAATAAACATAAATATACGATTAGAAAGTTAATAAATAAATAATTTGAAAATACAGAATTTACTTCTTTTTTTTAAAAAATAAAAGTCAGAATATGCCAATAATGGTAAGACATTTAAAAGAATGGTGTTATGATATATTTCTTCCAGAGCTGTGCACACGTCTGGGCGGTAAATCATCAGAAAAATTTTGTCTTTACTCAAATTAGTATACGATTATTCCATGAGCGTTTTCTTGGAAAGGATACTGATGTGCTACAAATGCTGTATATTATTATTTATTAAACTATTTTTATGCATCTTTCCCGGAACATGAGCAGTATCTACATATGTGTTGGGCTCCAGTGTCATTCCCTCTTGAAATTCCTGAATAAGACTTTCATAGTTTCTGATGAATAAGAGGTGGAGCTAAAGTGTGGTGGGACCTCATCTAATTATAATTCAAAGGCATAGAGAAGTAATTTTCAGACTTTGATAGATAGGTTTGCTTGATTTGATGATAATTGTGAAAACATTTATATCTCAAGAATGAACAGGGCTCCTCAATTAGGCCTGGCACCACATCTAAGCCTATCACCACATCTAAGCCTATCACCAAGGTATGTACAGTAATTAAAGAAAAAGTTGAATCTTTATCTATATTATAATTAAGAGGAATATATAAAGAGGAGGTTTTCAGTCATTAATGCACGAGTTTACACAATTTAATGAATGTTTTTATTTTATTTCTCCAGAGTGATAAAGTCAACTTAATTACCATGAAGGTATGTAATTGAAAAAATAACCACATGGTTATTTTTCTTAAAACTAGCTCATTGCTAGAATATGTTATTACAGTATATTATAAAATTGTCTTCAGTAATAAATAAAAAAGTGAAGCATTTTGGGGATTTTTTTGGGAGAAATATACAAAAAACTGAAAGTGTAATAGGTGATTGACTTGTTTGTAAAATAGGCAATTACAAAAACAAGTATATGCCTATACATACTGTGCTTGTTAAAAAAAAAATAATCCCCACTTCCTATTAGATATTTTCTTAAAACTTTTTATTCAGGATGGCCTTATCCACAAATTATTGCACTGTATTTGCCAGGAAAAATATGAAAAATATATAAATATGCAGAATAAAAAGTTTACAATAGAAAAATTACTCAACAAGGTAATGTTTTTGTATATCACATAAATATTTTTGTACTATCTATGCACTTAAGAGCTGATGAAAATATTTGTTGTAAAAACATTATAGAGTGTTGATAAATGGTTAACAAATCCATTCTTGCAAATTAGAAAAAGAAACTTAAAAAATGTGTATATAGCGGCAACAGTGAATAAGAGCTTCTGGTCTGCACTTCTAGAAACCAACAGTCATCACCATTAGTTTAGGAATCCAACTTAATGTTAATGGATCTCATAAAGGCCTCTAAAAATGCTCGTAACTTGGGATTATATTTGACTCCACGCTGGATTTAAGTTCTCAGTTGAGTAAGGTATGTAGTAGTGTACGTTACCATTTGCGTAACTTGTGAAGGATTCGAAGATTTGTTAATCAAGATACTTGTTAGAGCCCTCATACTATTGCGAATTGACTATTGTAACTCACTCTATGGTGGTCTCTTCAAGAAATACATTGATAGACTGCAGAAATTGCAAAACTCTGCTGCTCGCTTAGCCTTTTCATGTGATCCTCGTACACACTCTGCTCCTCTCATCAATGAACTTCATTGGCTGCTAGCTAATAATCGAATTATTTTCAAAATTATTCTCACTGTTCACAAATGTATGTATGGTTTTTCTCCTAAGTATTTATATGGTTTTCTCGGTTTTATATGGTTATCAAGTATCCCTATATGTACAACACGTTGCTCTTCATCTGTACATTTCATTATACCACGTCACAACAAGAGAATTGGAGGCTTTTCATTTCCTTGTTATGCTTCTAAACTTTGGAATAATCTTCCAACTGACCTTAGAGATATCTCAGATCCTAATCTTTTTAAACGTGCACTCAAGACTTACTTGTTTGCCTAATTCACTTTTTGCTGCTTTTTCCTTTTGTGTTTTTATTTTTGTAATCTGTTTATTTGTCTTTGTTGTTTGTGTGACTGTACTATACTGTGATGCTTCAGGTTCCTGAATAATGACTGATATTATGCCTACCATTGTTTTCCTGGATTATTGAGGCTTGGCTTGAGCTTCATAACCGCAAGAGAAAGGCGCAATATAAATACCCAATACCAGTACCAGTAAGGACTTTAATATGGAAGACTAAATTACAAATAAAGAGATTGTTTTAATAAAAAAAAATTAATTATGGTACTTTCTTCTGACAAAGGAGTATTATTGTTTAATAATATTTTAAAACATTCTAATTTGTTATAATGGAGAATTAATCGGTCCAACTGTCCAATAAAATAAAAGTATATTTAATAACCTTTACGTGAGTACCAAAACATTCAAAATGTTGTCAATATTTGAGCATAGAAAGAGACACCTTAAAAATAGATCAGATTTTCTATTTTTCTCAGGGAGTGACCCTCACAAAATGTCAGGGGGTGGGGGGTAGAAAATAAAGGTTAGTCAATCTAATATAAATCCGTGCTCTATCTGTAACAAAATGGAAGACCTGCAAGTGACCATGGAACTTAACAATATTCAAGTCTGTATACTTGCAGAAACATGGTACAAATAAAAAACTGGAATCATTTAATAATAGTATTGCTACTGCACACAAAAAGCATTTCCTTGCAAAACAATTATGTACCCGTATATAGCCCTTGGATTACGCTGTACATAAAGAAACTATTTAAAGATAGACAAACAACTTTTAAAGAAATGGAAGCGTTCAGAATTCTTAGAAATAAAGTAAACTGGGAAATAAAGAAAGCTAAAGAGAGGTACTATTGCTATAAAGTTAAAGAGCTTCAGGCTACTAACCCCCGCAAATAAAGGGATTTAGCGATGACTGTTTACAGGCGGTCACGTGACTTATGAAAGCCTGTTCATCATTGGTCAGATTACAAATTGCCTCTGTATTCCATATTGTGTATATCAACCAATCACAGCTTGGAATGGTAAGCTTTAAAGCTAATATTACGTCTTTGATGAGTCTAGTTTTTAGTAGCGGTGATGTACAGCCGTTTAAACATTTCGTGGTGCCTGCAACATACAGTCCGTGCAAATATATGAATGACTTTTTGCCTAGCCATGAAAAGATTTAGAGAATTTAAAAAAAACCCTGTTGAGGTCAAATCAAAAAGTTAATATTGACAACGATGAAGGCATGTGGGCCTCGATGATAGCGAGGCCCACATGCACTTCTCCTTTGTAGGCCTAGAAGACGAACCGCATAGTAGATAACCTGGTTGGGTATGTGTAGTAGATCGGATATTACAGAAAATGTTTGCTATCTTTTGTGGATACAAACTAATCACAAGTTGCTTTTATGTGTATTAAAATCACACATTCGAAATCAGGGTGGGGTGGGGGAGCTGGCACCACCACTACTGGGGTGTTAAACCCTGTGGAGGGTGGGTGGGGCTTACTGCATAACAGATGCCATTGTGGCCAAATTGTTTTTTTCTTTTTAGTCTGAAGACTTGTGGGCATTGGACAACAGGGGATCCCCGCTGGTGCCACCACTGCACAGGGTACAAAACCCTGTGGGGGTGGTAACAAACACCATTGTGGCTGGGACCCTGCTAAGGGTGATGATACCACCATTGTCAAATTGTTTGTTTTTTCTTTGAGCCGACAAACTTGTGGCGTCGTACACTGAGTGGGTGGATGAATCCCGCTGGCGCCACCACATCTTAGGGTGCAGACTGTAAGCTATAACTGCATTCACAATACATTAATTTACTGCGTTGTGACATTATGATCCCTAGTTTTGTCAGTTTCCATAAGGCCAACATCATTACAAAAATAATGTAATATTTTACCAATTGCTGCATAGGAACCTCGGCCCTTGCAGAGTTCTGGTTTTAATTAATAAAACATCTTTGGAATAACTGGTTTAAAAACAACATATTTTTACATACACAACAACCCTTTCAGAACAACATTATTTTTTACAAATACTATACAACAATATTGTATACAGCCTGCATTTTAGGATCCAACAAACCCACACATCAATTTATAATACTAAATGTTACCTTTCTAAACAGTTGAGTGAAAAAATAATTTGTCAAGCCCATGATGCTGCATACAATACAACTGTAACTTCAGTTAAACGTTTCTGGGCACAAAACATGTATTGTTGCTGTTCTTGATAAATTTCTTTTAAAATTTATTTCTAGTATCGATTGACTTAATTAATGCATTAGAAATCAATGGTTTATGGTCTTTGCGAAAATTTCGTCTACATCGATGTTTTGGGAAGTGTTTATTATATAAAGAGTTAAATTTACAATTAGTACTAATTAAGGTAATTAAGTATTACTTCAATAGACAGAAACCACCAGGAACCAAAAAAGATATGATTAAAAGAAGAAAGCCTAGTGCAGGGGCATTTACAGCTACCTGATATTGCCTTTACCACTTTGCAGACAGACAACTCGTGTTTTCAAATAAACCATCTGGATCTCATTCCAATTGACGAATCATGTGCTTTCAACGTTCAGTGAAACAAGCACCTTGGTGAACAATTACTGTACATTCCGAATGGTGTGAGAATCCTGTATCTTGATTATTGGGCAAAAACTTGAGTTTTGCATGATTTTAAGGGTGAGCGGGAGGGTTTGTATGAGCCTGGGCGGAAGACCTTAAAAATGAATTTTGGATGGGTGCAAGACGTTAAGACTGCGGGTACTTCAGACCACTTACGCCCTGCATAACGACATCTCTGAAAGTAACATTTCTTTCTTTCTTTAATTGTTTAGCATTCATTCAAGTACAACAATTTACAAAACAATGACATACAAAAATAAGATAAAAATTATAAAAAATATAAACTTAAATGAAAAGGTAAATATGAGCATATTAAGAAAAATGCAAAATTAAAATTTTGAGTGGCTAGAAAAATTAGTCTTTCCTGAGTAATGCTATGGATGGGTCAGAGATTGCAAGTGTTGATGTGAGCCAAAGTTCCAGTTAAAATCGAGATTTCAAAGCTTTTTGCAACAGCCACTAAACCAAAAAATAGACTTTGATAATATGCATAAGCTTTCCAGCAGTGAAAAGAAGATGTCCAACTGACCCAGATTTTAAAATGTCACTGTGTGTGGGCAACATGAGGTTTTTCCCCTATGTGAGGCATATAGATACTAGAAAGTTTTAATCAAGGATGCCTGAGTTTGCTTTACCTGATGAAATTAAGTTTTTAATTTTTTATTTCTTCAGGATAAAAGGAACCTTTACATACCTATAAGTTATTTAAACAAAGCTTTTAGTTTTATAGTTTGATACAGAGTATAACTACTATATTTATTATCATTTTTAATTAAACCAGTGGAGGTGTCTATACGAAAGTTCCTTTCATTGCAATTGATATCACAAAATATTACTGTGTTTAACTAAAAAACATTTTTACTAAGATGAATTTTTTTTATTGGTTTCAATAAAATAGAATCACAATAGAATCGCAAAGACATGGGTAGATGGTCGTTACATTTTAGCGTTTTCTATATCAAGTGATTGTGGAGATACTGAAATTGAAGGTAAGTTGTTGCTTGTTGATGTGCTACAATGCATTATGAATTTTCATTACGGTTCTCATCATAATCATCATATTGTCATTTCATACTGTCATCATCATCACCTTCATCAACAACAACATCATCATTTTTTATTTATTTTATTCATTTCGACGTATAAAAAAATCAATATGGTAAGGTGAGTCGAGTGGTAGCAAAAGAATAAAAAAAAAATTGTCGCCAACATGATGCCTACCGACCCGACTCTTTTTTACATGGTCATGATGTGGTTAGCTGTCCCTCTTCTAATTCATCATTTTGTAACAGTGAGGCTCAGACCTTATGACCTCCAGGGTCCAGGGTATATAAATATATAATAGTTGCAGTACATAACAAAAAGTGTCTACTAGTAATCTATGTAGAAACTTCCTATTTCCTATATCTTCAACATGTCACAAATATATAACTTCTAATAGAAATGTACAGTAATTAGTAAGGCCCTATAAATTAATCGCCTACTTCATTTATCCTACAGTACCTAAACATATTATGTACCTTACCATATTTCAACAAAAATATGACTAAAGTTAAGCATCGACACAGTAAATGCATAACGTTCACCACTGCATTTATTCATGAGTTGTCTTTAGGGGTCTAGGCCCAGTGATATATTTTCATAGAATTTGTGTATATCTGTAAAGGCCAATCTTCTTTTAGTGGTCTTGAATTTTGTTCTATTTTATCAAAACTAATCATGATGTTTAACATACTAGAGGGTAAGCGAGCGAAGTGAGTGCACCCTCTAGTAATAATAATTAAAAGTAATAGTAACAAAAGCACTCAGTAGAGAGCATATCTCCGCCCACCACAAAACAATCACTTCATTTTTTGAACGCCTTCCATTGTATCATTCCTTACATGTTCTGATTTAACATACTAGCACGTTTTACTCTTTATAGCTGTCAATCAATCAATCAATCAATCAATGTGACATTTATTTCCCCAAAGACAACAAAAAACAACATACAATGGTGAGGAACCAGTTTAGAAGCCTAGGCTTGTCTCCACTGTCCCTTTAAGAAATACGAAAACAAAAATTTAAAAAACACAAACAAACAAACAAACAAAAAAGATCATAAAAGTACCTATTGATAATTTGAAATAATTTCCTTTTTTAGGAGTTTACTAAAAGTCTTAGAGTATTTGATGTTTTTAGTTTACTATAAATATTGTTCCATACATGCGGGCCATGGACACAAATTGAGAATTGGCTTTTAGTCAGCTTAACAAATGGAATACGAAGCCTATTACATTGCCTTTTCCGATAGTTATGAACATTACCTTTGTACTGAAATAGATCCTTAAACACATTTGGTAACATTTCATGGGTATGTTTATACATAAAGCATCCTACTTGTACCTTATTAACGTCATAAATACCGTATTCAAAAGATTATGTTCATGAAATAGTGGTTCAGCATTGCACCTACTGTATATGGTGGTGATGTAATTATACGAATAATACGTTTTTGGAGGTTATATAGTTTAACAAGGTTTGAGGGATAGTCACTTACCCATATAATATTACCATACTGGAGGTAAGGCAAAATTAAGGTATTGTAAAGAGCGAGTAAAATATTCGTAGGGAAAAACTGTTTGACTCTGCCAATTACTCCTATCGATTTAGAGATTTTTCTTGCAACGAAGTCAATATGAATTTTCCAGTTAGTATGTTCATTTAAAATTATACCCAAGAATTGAACTTCTTTCTGTTGAGCTATTGCTTTACCATTGATTTTAAGACAATTGTCAATTTCAGGGCATTTTTCTGAGTTGGACGGAAAATTACATAGTTAGTTTTAGCAATATTTAACAATAGTTTGTTAATGCTGAGCCAATTGCCGTTTTGATTTATTGCCATTTTGGTTTTTTGCCGTTCTGTCCAGAAACCATTCACCATGCCCTCATGATGTCACCGGGCTCAACTATTTTTTTTACTTAGGGGTTAATTTGAAAAAATCGCACACAAATCATACGATGTCACTGACATCGCCGGGGACGGCAACTCGATTTTGAGATTAATTTTCCGAATAAAATTATACGGTATTAAATAACTTCTAATGACAAACTATTGTCTTCAGTTGTCTTTGTTGGTCATTCAACTGTCATTTTATCTATTTTTTCGGTGATATTACCATTCCTAATAATCTATAAAACACCCACATAACAACGTCACGTTAGATTGATTGGTGGGGACGCCGTGGTGACGCCGGTAGGGCCAATTTTCGTCGGAAGGTATCAAGATGATAAACAGTTTCATTGGACTAAATTCTTGCTTATGTTAAAACCACATGCTTACCTAAGATTATACTGACACTGGTTTCAAATCACGGTCAAGTAGTTAAAATCACATAAAATCACCTTATTTTGCGAATTAGCGCCCCTCAACTGATCATAGAGACCCCCACTTCACCTTCGCGCCCCCCTCCCCATCAGTCCCCCATTTCAAGACATCTACATACGCCACTGACTTACACGGCCAGATGAAGAATGAATGTACTCAATCGATGTGCCACCAAATCGTAACCTGCCTTCACCATGCCCTCACGATATCACCGGGTACGCAAAAGCTATTTTTGGCAGCGAAGGGACGCTTCCAATAAACAATCAACAAACCACCGGGTTTCTGGGTTGATTTGCAAGATACTACAT